AAACAAACAATCATCGCTCTCCTATTCAATGGATGCTTAAACAAGTTGAAGATAGCATGGATGCTCAAGACCTAAAGATCGATATTTTACAACCCATTAAATATATAATCTAAGGCTGGAATGAAGTTATAGCTACAATAATCAAAAACTGCTGGTACCATACTAACCTTATTCCTTATTAGGATAATCCTACAGATAGCGAAAAAAGTAAAGATGAAGTCTTGCTTGAAGAACTTTCTAAAAATATTGAAGACCTTAATTTTTCAAACCCTATGCGAGTAGAAGAGTACTTGAATAATCCTGACGAAGATATTGTTTACAAAATACCTGATAATGATCAAATTATTTCAGACCTTGTCGAAACATTTGAAGAAAGATTTGGCGAAATAGAAAATAATTCTGAAGAAGTAGACGATAGTGTTGAAGAAGAAATCATAAGTCTGAATAATGCTTTGAAAAGACTAGAAAATATATGCACTTTCTTGTTTCAGCAAGAAAGTGTAAGTGAATGTATAAATCTAGTTAGTGTTATTGAAAAATTCATCAATGTAAAAAAAAAAGATTCGATGAAGCAATCTACGATCAGTCGATATTTTAATGAAGTATCACAATCGACAAATCAAGATGATTGGATGGAAATTTTTGCTTAATATGTATTTGATATACCCTTCATTACTATAAATATTTTATTATTTATATTTGATATATATTCGGTACTACAGTATATCTTATATCAACACAATTAAATAAAAAAGATTATACAGACATATTATAGCAATTTTTTAATAAATTTCTTTAAGTGCACACCCTCTATAAATGCATGCTTGGGCCCAGTTCCGAGAGGTGCATTTAGAGAGGTCTCTCTGTACTAAACTTATCGAGAAAGAAAAGTTCTTAGAAAAAATACAACAAAAAATAGATACAAGATGAGTAAAAATACTCAAAGCTAAAGTGATTAAGATGCAAAGACAATGAAGCAAAGAAGCTATAATAAAGATAAGTCTACAAATAAAAGAAGCAACTAAAAGAGCTTTATTAAAGCAACAGAGAGAAAAAAAGAAGCTTTCAAAAGAAGAACAAAAAAGAAAAAAGAAGAACCAAGACTCTAGAAGCAGCAAAGGAAGAAACATAGAAAAATAGAAAATAGAAAAAATCTTAGAAGAGCTTAAAGAAGAAACACGACCAAGAGTACAAGAAAAAGATCAAAATAGTTTCAAAAATAATAAAGAAGAAAAAACTAAGATATGAAGAATAATTTCAACTCTAAAGAGAAGAGAAGAAAAGAAGATAATATCTAAACAAAATAAAAAAAGAATAGAAGCTTGTAACCTCTGGAAGAATTAGAAAAGAAAAAAGAAAAGACAATCTAAAAGATATAATTTTAGAGAAGAAGTTCAATTAGTAATGCAGAAGAGTGATCAAAAAGAAGCTTATAGTATTGCAAAAAAAGAAGAATAAAAATGTAGAGAAAAACTAAAAGAAGAAAAGATATTTGGTTTAATTAGAAGATCTGTAGATAAACCTAGTAGAAAAGTCTGGAAGAAAAGAAGAAAAAGGAAAAAATCTTATAAGATAAATATGAATTGATGGATAGAAAGTAGAATAAAGAACAGTAGTTTAGAAAAGATATTTAGAAAAGTTAAAAATTTATAGATAAAGGAAGGTAAAGTTATCAAAAGGATATAAAAGTAGTCATGATAGGCTGTAGTGTCCATATTAGAGAATTGTAGTTACAGAATAGTAGTAACAATAATCTAGTATAAAGATTACTATAGCAGATCGCACATAGGTATTTATAGGATAACTAGGTGAGTTAAAACTTAAAAAATTAGATATTAAAAAAATATATAATCATTCAATGATGTTTTCTTGTATAAAACAAATTCTAAATAAAATTTTGGTATGACTGTTGAATTTAAAAAAAAAAAAACTTTCTGTAGATTTTTAAAATATAATCTTGTTTAAACAATCTATTCTTTTGAAAAAAAATTTGCTATTATAGCAGATTATATCTGAATATTTTAGATAACCAAATAAGTTTGAAATTAAATGAAAAAAGTAGTTTTATAGTTATATTAGTTTAGTTTATATTTTTATTATAATATTTTATATGTTTTCTTTTAATAAATAAAAAAAAAGATTGTCTAAGTAAAAAAAAAAAAAATTACAAATCTTAAAAGATTACTTATATATAACTGTATATTTAAATTAATAAAATCTAATTAGCTATAAAAATAATCTTAATAAAAAAAATAAAAAAAAATAAAATTAAAATAAAATTAAATTTAAAGTTTTAAAACTTTAAACAAAAATAGCTTAATATCTATTTAATAATAAAAATTTTATTTTTTATTTTAATTTTACAATTCTGTAAAATCTAAATAAAAAAATTTTTATTAAATTAATTAGATAGATTCTAAGATATTTTTGTTTAAGTAATTAAACAATTTAAAATATTTCTTAAAATTGATACTATACTAAAAATTTTTAAAACTTTGAATAAAGATATCTTAATATCTATCTAAATAAATTCAATAAAAATCTTTTTATTTTAATTTTATAGTTCTGTAAAATTCAAACAAAAAAAAATTATTAAATTTAATAAAGTAAGTATCAAGATATTTTTGTTTAAAGTTTTAAGTTTTAATTATTTACTAATTTAAGCAAAGATTTTTCAATATCTACCTGATCAATTTCTATAAAATTTTTTATTTGGATTTTACAAAACTGTAAAATTAAAATAAAAAATTTTTATTGAATTTGGTCAAATAGATGTTATAATATCTTCTTTTAAAATTTAAAACTTGATTACTTTAATAAATATTTTAAATTATTTATTAATTTTGATTAAAGATATCTCAACGACTACCAAACCAAATTCAATAAAAATTTTTTTATTGAATTTAGTTAAATAGGTTTCGAGATATCTTTATTTAAATTTGCAAAAATTGCAATTTCACAAATAGTATGATTAATCTTTATTTTATTGGATAAAATAATTAAATATATTACTGAACCATCACTATATAGTCTAGTCAACTGAGGTCCAGTGGACTGAATACAAGATAAATATACGTGTTTTAATTTTTCAACACAACCCTGCCAATATGATAATGCTAGCGTAACGATATATTATTAAAATCCTAAGTTATCAACCGATTATAACCGGGTTAGCCGATTAAATACTTTATTCAATCGGTTAACCGAAATTTTCTCGGTTCAGTTCATTTATCCGATTATAGCCAAACCGGTCCAAATCCACTAGTGCAAGGATTAAGTACATTACGTGAATTCGGCAACATTATGACATGATCAGACACAATTGACCGATATTCGGCTTCTGCTATCACGAAAGTAAGAGGTGATTGGTCTTACGTAAGACATATGATCATAGTAAGCTGCCGGATAAATTTATTGTGGCGGCTTATGCTGAGATTGGCTTATGCTGAGGATTTGATTTATTTTATTATGAAATTTTAAATTTTTTAAGTTTTTTTTGTGTACCGTTTTTTTTTAATGTTTAGTTAGACTTTAGGTTAGGGTTATTAATAAAAGAGTATATGTGGATTTTAGCAAGTATTATAGATTTTAATAGGGATCTAAGATCTCAGCATAAGCCGCCACATTTATTTTATTAATAACCTCGTTATAATTGAATGGAAACTTTAATATTGTATAGTACAGATCTTATCACTATTGTGAGAGTCACTTGTATCCCCATTTTTGGCAGACTTATAAAATTGAATAAAATATCTGATATTAATGGCAACGAAAAACAACTATTATTTATTTAAGATAATGTATTAAAATCACCCCTCTATATTGTTATATCTTCTCCACACACCCATCTTTTAAACTCTAAAATTTTTATTTCGATATAAAAATCATTTTTTAATTTTTTTATCTGTTGTCCAACTGTTATTTGATTTGTAGCAGCAATAAAATCTTGTTCGGTTAATATAAGATCTTTTAAAAAATCATCAATTTCTTTCTTCTCCTTTCCAAGCATTTTCATATGATCATAAGAAATATATTTTGGATTAAAACCTACAACTTGTCTTGCTAAATCTCGAGCAAGTTTTGAAAGAATATCAATTATTGATTGTGAATAATTCAATTGTCCTCTTTGAAGTATTTTATTTTTTTGGTTCACACCTCTAGCTTCAAGAACTACCAAAGCAGCAATTTTTCCAGTGTACGCATCGTTACCACCGTGCACATATCCACCTGTTATTACGACCCAACCCTCATCATTCGCGATTTTAGATGATAATTTTTCTATATCAAAATTCACAGTTTCAACTCTACGTATACTAATATTTTCACCTAATTTTCCAATTAATTCTGTTAAAGAATCTTTAGTTGAGATAGGTTGTGAATTATTAATTACATGTAGTGATGATGTGGAAGGATGTGGAAATAATGGGGTCGAATACAAAGGATCAAGAGGAATTGGTACGATTTTTGCCGTTAAATTTGAAATATCAGACGTTGATTGAATTGGAAATAATAGTGAAGTTGATGCAACTTGAATAGTAAATTGTTGAAATAATGCATTACGTGAAACAAAATCCGTTTCACAATTTACCTGATAAATTTTATATTTGACGCGCGATTAATAATTATTTGACATTAAATACGCGTAAAAATAAATAAAAAAAAAGTTGGTAAATACACACAAACCTCAACAATAGCACCTCTACTACCCAATATAAAATTGCTCTCATTAAATTTTCCAAACTTTTCTCCAAATTTTGAAGTTACAACAGCAACCAAACCTTCTTTTGCAGTTCTTCCTTTAAGTTTTTCGGCTTTTTCTGCACCACTAATTTTTGAATCTTCTAGTAACCATGCGGTCGCCTTATCATAATCATTATTATGTTTTATCAAAGCTTCTTTAGCTTTTGTAATACTAATCTGAGTTTCTTGACGTAATTTTGCTAAAAGTTTTATGTCAGGTTTTACTGTTGAAAAATCTGTTACGTAAGATCTTTGTGAAATAGTAAAGAGTCCATATGACTGTGAGCATATGGCCCGAAAAGTGAAGAAACTTCGATATCGGAACAT